TCCTGAGTGCTGCTCAAAAATGACAAGATCATGACAAAGAAGGAAAGTAAGAGAAACCGGCACAGCCAGGAGGAGCCTGAGGAGACAGAACTACTAAACGCAACGCGCTATCGTGGGTAGGGCCCCCAGCAAACACGAACACCGAGAGAAAACTAAGGAAATCTGAACAAAGCATGGACTTCAGTTACTAAGAGTGTATCAATATTGATTGGTTACTGACATGCCAATGTAAGATGTTCATAGAAGGTGAAGGGAGTGGGGTGTCTGTGGGAGCTCTGTACTATCTTTACCCTTCTCCTCAAATATAAAACTGTTATAAACAATACTGTTTAAAATAAACTAAAACATAAACCTTCCTAATAGAAAGAACATTAAGGCTTCAATTTACCCCTAAAAATTTTTTTTAAAGATTTTATTTTATTTATACAAGAACTGGGGTACAGGCCAGAGGTGTGGGGGGTGAGAGGATTCCCCACAGACAGAGCAGGGAACAGAACAGGCAGACTGCTGAAGGGAGTGAAATACACTGAAATACACTGCTGAAGGGAGCAGCGGGCAAGAGAGGAGAGGTCCGCTTGCCATGTCTGAGGCTGGCGGGGATCAAACCTGCGCTGCAGAGGCTGCAGACAGTTTCACAGCACTGCGCTCAACCACCTGCACACCAGGGAGGCCCTACCTCTAAGATTTTTTTAATACACGAAGTCCAGCACTTGGGGCCTCCCTGGTGGATTACAGGTGAAGTCTCAGCACTATCACTGCTATGGTCTGAGTTCCATCCCTAGCCAGGGAGTCACCAGGGAGGCACAGCAGACCTCTCCTGTCTCCCCACTGCTCCCCTCAGCAGTGGATTTTAGTAGATCGGCCTGTTCTGCTTCCCACTCTGCCTCTGGTGAATCCTCTCACCCACCCTGCACTGTCCTGGCCCATACCCCAGTTCTTGTATGCGTAAATAAATCAATCTTTAAAAAATAAAAATTAAGAATAAAAAAAAAAATTGAGACTTACCTTCATAGGAAAGTCACAGAAATTAAGGTTGAATTTGTCAGAAACTTAACCAATGAAAAAAGCAAATCTCTCAGAATATCTACATGTTCTAAAGGTAAAGATTTCTTAAACAGGATACCCAAAAAAACACTAAATATGAAGGAGAGAGAATATGTGTGTGTGTAACAGTCCTAAATGAAATATAAGAAGCTGGGCCTCCCTGATGGTACAAGGGGGTAAGCACCGTACTATGAAGCAATCCACAGCTTCTGCAGCACAAGTTCCATCCTCGGCTGGCCAGGGAGAAACCCACATGGTGCAGCAGACCTCTCCTGTCTCACCACTGCTCCCTCAGCAGTGTACTTTAATCTGCCTGTTCTGTTCCCCGCTCTATCTCTGGTGAATCCTCTCACCACCACCACCCCCCCCATCTCTGGCTTGTAACCCAGCTCTTGTATGCATAAATCAATCAATCAATCAAAAAAAAAAAAAAAGAAATATAAGAAGCTGAGAACAGTCACTCTATTAAAAGAAGAATTGGAAAGCGAGGTCTATGTATTTTGCAATCTGTACTATGTGCGCATCACGCTCTAATTTAAACATTTGTAAAAGTTAAGTAGAATAAAATTTTAGGTGAATAAATAAGTTTGGGAATTCATATATTAAAATAAAAAGAGCTTTTTAAAGAATGTAAGGGTAATACTATAGAGATTCAGATAAAATTCAGCTAGAGATGATTCCTGATGCATTCAACGAACAGGCGAGGGCTATGGGATGCCCATTTAACTTGGGATCCAGCTCCCAGGTACTGTTACCTCTTAGCTATGTAACAGACACCATACCTTTTCACAAGTGTTAACAATGAACTAAAAATGTGGGAAGAAGAGGGTCTATGCCTCACTACCCTCAGTATTATGCACCCTACAGGCAGTTTTGAATTAGGAAAAATGCCCTCTGAAGAGCTGAAACCAGGCCCTGAGGCGTTCCTTGGGGAATTTTCAAATGAAAGGAAGCATCACTAAGGCCCAGATGAGACTTACACAAGGAGAGACCAACCTGGGGCATGGTTTTCATGAGCTCAACTGTCATTTTCACTTTCTCTCGAGGCTTCTCTCCCGCCAGCGGTAGTGCCTGGGGAGGGCAAGGCTGGAAGAAGAGAAAGGGGAGGGAGAAATGAGGCCTGCCCTGCGCGAGCAGAATCACCAGCCTGAAAACCACCCTCCCCTCTCCCTCGCCTCCCTCTGTCCCAGGCCCACGTAACAGGGAGACAGCGGGCAAGCTCTGGTCCCTGGCAGATTTCAAGTGAAAACCGTTTCTCTTGGGCTTGGCATCCTAAATTCAAGCCTCTTTTCCTAAAAGTTGCCTTCCCATTCTTTGCTTTTAGAGTACAAATGAGATGTCCCGGGTTCTGAATATTACGTTATCGCCTTATCTTTCAGAGCCTGGCAGGGAGGACATCCTCTGTTTCACCCCCTCCCGCACCCGGGTCGTGCTCCTCCCTCGAGAGCCTGAAGCTGGCCGCCTCGGTGCCCGGGGCCGCCAGGCGGGCCCGCCCCCAGCAGCCGCCCCAGTCCCTCACGGAGGGGCCGAGGGTCTGCCCCTTCGCCCTCCCCAGCTCTCGGCCCCGCGGCCCGTCCTCCCTGCCCTCCAGGGGAGGCACCTCCTGCTCGGCGCCCCGCTTCTGGCTTCTCTGGAGCGGGTGGGAAGTCGACGCCCGGGGTCCCCCGGGCCGCACGCGCTCCGCCGGCCACGCAGAGCCGCGCGCCTCGAGCACCAGGCGCCGGGCCGGGCCCAGCAGCGGGACGCGCGGCCCGGAGGGACAGCGAGTGCGGTCGCGCCCCGGGGACGGGCCTCGGGTCCCCGCACACCCCGGGGCGGCCTCGCGGCCCCGCGGGGCTCCCGCCGGCCGAGCCCGGGGCCCGGCCGCCCTCGGGCCCGCGAGGGTCCCCCCGCCCGGCTCCAGCCGCGGCCTCGGCACCGCCCCCGACCGAGGAGCGGCCGCGCGGGCGTCCACAGAGGAGGCGCCGCCCGCCCCCGGGCCCCCCGGCCCCCGGCCCCCGGGCCCCCGGCCCCGCGGCCCTGCGGCCACGGCGCGGAAGCAGCGGCGCTGCCGGACGGACGCCGAGGCCACGCCGGGGCTGCGAGTGCGCAGGCGCCGACTCCCCGGCGGGCGGGGGCCGGCGGGGCGGGGCCCGGCTCTGGGGGGTCGGCCTAGACCGAGCGCGGGGGAGGAGCGCGCGTCAGAGCGAGCGCGCCGCGCTCCCACGCGGCGGCGCTCGGGGAGGGGCCAGGGGCTCGGCGCTGGCGCGGGTGTGCGCAGGCGCGTGAACGCGCGCTCCCCCGCCCTCGCCTGGAGACCGCAGCGTCCCTAGTTACCACGCCGCCGGAGCCGCAGGAGGCGCGCTGGGGAGCCCTCGGTGGGCACGAGTGGGCGCGTCCCGCTGTCTGGATGTCACCCCGCGACCTCGGCCGCGCCAGCCAGCCCCTGGACGTGAGCTGTCTCCAGTGTGCCTCACGCGTCTCTTCTTGACGGCGCAGGAACACCGCCCCACGCGGACGCCCACAGACGGCGGGCGGCTCTGCCCTCCGCTCGCCCCAGACCCCCTCTGGCCACCAGCGCTGACGGGCGAGAAAAGGGGTTTTGTGTTGTCTGCTACTTTTCTCCTATTGCTGCACGTGTCTCTTTCTCCCTCTCGTGAGCACGAGCCCGGAGGTGACAGAGGCTGCGGGTCGGAGGCGTTCCCACAGCCCGACACGCAGGGCTTCTGCGCCGCTGTGAGCTCTCCGTGCTACACAGCGCGAGGCAGAACTGAAGCGGAGAGACAGGAGAGGCCTGGGGCGCCCGGGGGTCAGCGCCCTGGCCGGGGCTCGAGCTCGGGCCGCGGGGGCGGGGGGCGCGAGACAGCGGGGAGCCCAGGGCCAGCGCGCCACAGCCCCGCCCTCGCCGCCAGGCCCCGCCCCGCCCCAGAGCATGCCGGGAGAACAGGCCCCGGCGGTGATCGGGCCCGGCCGCAGTGGCCTCTGGGAAGTGTAGTTCCAGTCGCACCTGGCGCCGTTTCCCGCCCCTTACCTGGGGCCCGTCTGGCCGCGGAGACGGCCTTCACCCGTGGGTTTCCGCGCGTGTGCAGGCGCCTGGTCACGCCAGGGCTGAGGCGTGTGGCAGTCCGCTGCGGGCGCTCCGCGAGTGCAGTAGGGATGTCAGCCCGGGAGGGCGGCGGGCGGCGACTGCGCGGGCGGGACGGGGGGGGGGGGCCAGGTGCGCCCGGGGCGCGCGGACCGCGACGGAGGGCGGCGGGCGGGACCACTGCCGCGGCGCGGGGGCGCTGCACGTCGGCTGGAGCAGCGGGGGTGGCCAGCCCACGCGGGGAAAGGCCCGCGCCAACAAGTACAAACAGCAAAAGCCAACGGCAAGTAGTTGGACCGGAGCACTACATGCAAAGGAGACTTCGCCTAGGAAAAAAGAGGTATTTGGAGTTTTAAAAAACCAACTGTCGCGCCTCCCTGGTGGCGCAAGGGGTTAAGACGCAACCTATGAAGCTGTCCTCAGCCTCTGCAGCACGAGTTCAACCCCCACCCCCCAGCTACCCACATGGCACAGCAGACCTCTCCTGTCTCCACGCTGCTCCCCTCAGCAGGGGATTTCAGCCAGTCTGCCTGTTCTGCTCTCCACTCTGTCTCTGGTGGCCCTTCTCACCCCCCCCCACACCTCTGGCCTGTACCCCAGTTCTTGTATGCATAAATAAATCTTTTTAAAAAATTATCTTTTATTTTTTAAGATTTTTATTTATACAAGAACCGGGTACAGGTCAGATGTGCGGGAGGGTGAGAAGATTCACCAGAGAGAGAGTGGGGAGCAGAACAGGCAGAAGGACCGAAATACACTGTTGAGGGGCACAGCAGGGAGACAGGAGAGGTCTGCCGCGCCATGTGGGTTGCTCCACGCCGGCGGGGATCCAGCCGGCACTGTAGACGCTGCGGACAGCTTCACAGCGCTGCATTCAACCGCCTGGGCCACCAGGGAGGCCCACAACTAGTTGTCTTTTATAAAAACTAAAAGGGAAGGGTTGAGAATAAATGGCCGGGCAACAACATATCAAGCATTACCACTCAAATTTCACGACATCAAACTAGGTCAAAAGGATCAAACTAGGTCAGGGATGGCAAACTTTTTGGCTAAAGGGCCATACAGGCTCTGCAGCCATACAGCGCTTGCACTTAGTGCAAGAGCAGACATAGACACTGTATTTAAAAAACTCACCATGGCTCTGTTCCAATAAAACTTTATTTATAAACAGGCAGCAGGCCAGACTTCACTTGTGCACCCCTACACTAGGCAGAGTAGGCTATTATGTAATGATAAAAGGTACAATTCATAAAGAGGTTAAGTTATATGTCGTTATAAGTCAACATGATCAGTAAAAATTTCTGGAAATTCAAGACCTTGTTTTTAAAAAACTGGCTTTCCCAATCTAGTATACCAAGTTATATAAGAACATGGAGAATTTTATTATACTCCATTGGCTTAAACAGACTCTTTATCCTATTCTTTTTCAATTATCACGGAACATATACAAAAATAAATCTTGTGCATAGCCACAAAAAATGTCAAATTCAAAAATGGAGGCATTTTTAGACATTAACCAATCATAGTAAAATAAATCTTGATGTTTTTATCATTTAGGATGCTTTTGGCTGCAAGTTTACCACATATCCAACTAAATAGAACCTGAGCAGTTAAGATTTGCTTCTCTTACTAACAAGGCATTAGAGATGATTCCAGAATTCGCCTTGTAGCTTAGTGTTGTCACGTCTCTGGGTCAGCTTCTCTGAGTTCCTCTATTTTCCTTTTGGCTTCAAGATGGCTGAAGCAGCTCCAAGCATCATGTCCTCACAGGAAAAATGTTTCAGAGCAGGAAATGAGAGGAAGGACTCTTCCTAATATCTTTTATGGATGAGGAAACCTTTCCCAAAAGCCCCTGAAGATCCCTGGATATGGCTATACGGTGGGAAATATAGGCCATCCTGATCTCTGGAGGAGGCTGAAAAATTAATATCTGACCTCTTTGGATTCTAAGGCCAGACACAGATGCTGCCAGCAGGAAGTGGGTGTGGGCTTATGGCTGCTATAATCCAAAACAAACTGGAGATTAAGACTCCCCTAAATTTGGCTTACTCTTGGATCAAGAAGAAATAAAATCTGAGATTGATAACCACTTTTTAATCATTTTCTGGTTCATTTGTTCTTTATCTATCTGGGTGTTTGGTATTCTCTGTTCAGGCTTTCTGAATAGTAGTATACTTGAGTATTTTGAGTGTTTTGCATTTAAAGGTTCTAAAAATTCCTGAGCAGCTTTAGCTGCCCCCCACAGCATTCAAAGAACTCTCATCGTCATTCTTTCCGTTACATTTCATGGTAATTGCATGAATTATTTCCTCATTATCCCAAGAGAATTTGGCTGTTTTTTTAACCCCATTGGAACTTCCAAGAAAGATAAAATTACTACACTGTGGTTGAAAATAGGAATCTGGAATCTGGAATATAAAAATTTTCCCAACCTTTCCTTGCTTCTTTCACAATCATGCTCTGAACAGTTTAGATTCATATAACATTCAATGCAAACTTGACTCAGGACACACAGACTAGCTCCGATGTGAGCATCCCCACTGGCGTCACGGTCTTCAAGACGCGTGCCCTATGGTAAGGTCTGAACTGATGGGCTACGCTACTGGGCTTTCCCCACTGCTTCCACTCACGTGGCTGCCTGCTAACATAAATTCCCTGATGATGATGAAGGGGTAAGCATTGATGGGAGGTTTGTCGACACTCATCTTGTTCGCTTGGGTGTCTCTCGCATGCATTCTCTGAGGCTGCAGGGCAGCTGACTCGCGACGCCAAGTCCTCCCTGGCTCCTTGCGTCCACAGGGCTGCCCCGCGGCATGGACGGCCTGGTGCTGCACCAGCTGTGAGCAGTGGCTGAAGGCCTTCCCACACGCCTCACATCCATATGGCTTCTCGCCCGTGTGGACCCTGTAGTGCACGGTGAGGTGGGAGACCCTCTTGAACGCCCTACCGCACACCTTGCACTGGTATGGCTTCTCCCCGGTGTGAGTCCTCTGGTGCTGCTTAAGTTGTGAGCTCACCCTGAACGCCTTCCCACATGCCGTACACTCGTAGGGCTTCTCACCCGTGTGAATTCTCTGATGCCGAATTAGAGTTGAGCCTTGATTAAAGGCCTTGCCACAGTCCGTGCATTCGTAGAGCTTCTTGCCGGTGTGAACGGTTTGATGCTGAATCAGCTGAGACCTGTGACTGAAGGTCTTCCCGCACTCCTTGCACGCGTAGGGCTTTTCGCCTGTGTGGATTCTGTAGTGCACTTTAAGGTGTGAGATCCTGTTGAAGGCTTTGCCACATTCCTTACATTGATAGGGTTTCTCACCCGTGTGAATCCGTTGATGTTCAATCAACTGTGAACTTCGACTAAAGGCCTTTGCGCAATCCTTACACTCATAGGGCTTCTCCCCGGTGTGAACTCTCTGGTGTTGAATGAAGTTGGAGCCAGAATTGAAGGCCCTTCCACACTCCTGACATTCATAGGGCTTCTTGCCAGAGTGAATATTCTCATGCTGAATGAGCCGCGAGCCGTACTTGAAGGCCTTCCCGCATTCCTTGCACTTATAGGGCTTCTCGTTAGGGTGAACGCCTGGGTGACCTATGAGGAAGTCTTCCTGCCAGAAGCCTTGTTTATATTCAGGGTATCCATAGGGCTTTTCTTCAGCACGAACTTTCTGATAAAAAGGAAGGGACGCTGGCCGCTCGAGAGAGGCCATTCCTTCAGGACCGAGGATCACAGGACACAAGCGTCCACGTGGACATCCCCACGGTCTGCCAAGCCAGCCTCTGCATTCCCAGCCGTCGAGGAAACTGGAGCACTCGAGGCTGTACCTCGCCAGGCTGTCCACGAGCTCCCACTGGGGGAGCGGAGCCTCCTGATGCTGCTGCGTGGGGGAGACCTCACGGTCAGACCCGGGCGCCGACGCTGAAAGAGAACAAAAAAGCAAGCATGGACCTGGCTTTCCTCTTCCAGAAAGAGAAATCCTACAGCAAAAATCACAAAGTTGACACTCAGGATGACGCCTGCAAGCTCCGGAACGTGTAAAGCAACTGGAAAACGGACAGAGAATACAGGAGGAGAAAACGTGAGACGGGTGAGGGAGCTGAGACAGAGGTCTGAAGCGCAGTCCCGAATGCTCGGGGCTGAGAATCACCTCTGAACCTTGTTTTCAGGTTTTAAAGACCTGTGAAACCCTAGAAAGGACCAAGAGTGGAGCGAAAGTCAATCACTGGGGGGCTAAGGGGAGGAGGGGCTGAGTGGGAAGGCGCACGAGTGGAGGGCTCAGTGCCCTGGATCGCGGTGGTGGTGATGAACAGGATGGACACAGGTATCCATCATCAGCAAAATGTACGTGAAAGGCAGGCGTCTCACTCACGATACGCCAACGGTGCACCTCCACACACCGATCTGGAGATGGGAGGGGCGCTGGGTCCCGTCTGGCTGGAGGAGCACGCTGGGGCGCCGCAGCTGTGGCCTGCTGTGATGCGGCCACCCTGAAGCCGCGCTGACCAGGTGGGAACAGCGCCCACCAAGCAGACGCTCCCAGTTTTCTCCCGCTGCCCAGTGGTGACCTTGGAAAAAGGAGGCTCTAGTTCTCTGCCTAAAGGATGAGGCCCCAACTGCCTGGGAATGGCCCCCTTCCAGAGCCAGGCACGTCACTGCCTGTGCAAGGGGAAGGAAAGTAGGACGTGTGTCTGCTCCGAGCTCCCCAGCACGCGGCAGGCTGACCGCAGTCCACGACCACGCCTGAGTACCGGGGAACTCACAGCTCCTGCCTGGAGCCGCGGGGGAAGGTGGGTGGGAACTTCTGAACGTGTCCATAGTCAGGAAGAACTTCGGGGCCACGTCAGCTCACACGGCAGCAGATCGGAACAACATTCACTTTCGTAGCTGGAACTATGAAGCAAAACTACGTGAGGACGCTGACGCCGGAAAGAAGCGTCAGGCACTGTGAGAAGAATGCTGCTGCTGTCGCAGGTCTCGTTCGTCCTGTGAGCTAAGAACAGACTCCGTGGAGAGGACACAGAGGGCAGCTGTCTGGTCAGACACCCTGTCTGGTGACTCTAGAAGGTTATGGTTATTTACTGTGGTCCAGCAACATCTGGGGGGACCAAAGACAGCTGCTCCCACGGCCACCTGTGAGCTGGTGCGCCACGGTGGGCAGCGTCGGCTGCTACCCCACAAGGGAGGCTTTTACAGCCTGCGCCAACCATGAATGGAGGCCAGCCTAGACAGGAAGAGAGTAGCCTGAACACGCAGGTAGGAGAAGGACTTTTGTTTTAGTGACTAACTGCGCACGACTTGGTCTTTGGGGCACTGTGAGGTGCACCCGAGCTGCGTCTACAGATACACCTCTCTTCAAACCACCTCCTTCCTGCACACCTGAGCCCCTGACAGCTCGGCGGCTACGTGGCAGTCCGAGGGCAGTGCTGCACATTCTGTGAGAGCGTCCCCTCTCATCTGAATGCAGCCAATCAAAGTGACACTCTGCACTCTGAACAACGTTGGAGGAGTCACATTTTGTATTCTGAAAACATACGACAGAACTACTGTAATCTAAACACCGTGGTATTGGCATCAGGCGAACATGCAGCCCAATGGAACAGAGAGAAAATCCAGAACTAACTCTCATTTGGGGTGCTGAGAAAAATGGACATCCAAACACATAGAATGCAGCAGGACCCTGACCTCATGCCACCAACAAAAATTAAAGTGGGTTAAAGACCTAAACATAGGACAAATACGATAAAACTCCTAGAAGAAAACTGGAAAAGCTACGCGATACTAGATTTGGTGGCGATTTCTTTCACATGGCACCACAAACACAGACAACAAAAGCAAAATATAGACAAGTGGGATTGCATCAAACCTGAAAATTTATGTTGAAACAAAAAACAGTGAAAAAGCAACCTATGAAAAAGAAAAATATATTGTAGCCATAGATCTGCAAAAGGGCTAATATCCAGGATAAATAAATCATTCCCCCAAGTCAGCAGCAAGAAAATAAAGCGCTTAGGGCCTCCCTGGTAGTGCAGGCAGTTAAGCACCGCACTGTGAAGCTGTCCGCAGCCTCTGCTGCACAGATTTAATCCCAGCCGGCCGGGGAGATACCCACATGGCGCGGCAGACCTCTCCTGTCTCCCCCGCTACTCCCCTCAGCAGTGTACTTCATCAATCTGCCTGTTCTGTTCCCCACCCAGTCCCTGGTGAATCCTCTCACCCTCCCACGCATCTGGCCTGTAACCTGGTTCTTGTATAAATACATCTTTAAAAAAAAAAAAAAAGGCAAAGAAAGGGCTTGACTAGACATCGGCGCAAATGAGGGTCATCACACGCAGGTGGAGAGCAACATCACTGGTCACTGGAGGAATGCAAAGCGAAAGTACTGAGACGAGGACGGGCTACCGCGGAAAACCCAGACAAGTATGACAAGGATGAGTGGAAACCGGACTCCCGCGCCCTGCTGGTGGGAATGGAAAGGAGCACAGAAACCATAAACAGAAGGGGGGTTCCGAGCATCATCAGACTGACTGTGCGCCGGCAAGTCTGCTCCTTGGCATGTATCTAAAAGAACTGAAGCAGCATCTGGAGAGATACCTGCACACCCATTTCACCCCAACGCTATTTTCAAAAGCCATGAGGCGGAAGCACCCCAAATGTGCAATGAACCCCCAATGAAAACGACACCTCCGCTGAGGTGGAGAACACCCCTCTGAAGCGGGAGCACCCCAGCGCGGCGGGACACGCCTGAGCGCGACCTGGGGAGCTTGTGCGGGCGGCGTTCTGCTGAGTGGTGGGGGCAGACCAGGACCTGTTCACTCCCTGGCCCTCTTGAAGACACACTCGCCACCCCCATGACGAAGGAGCAGATCACACACGCGTGTGGCTGCAGCCCAATGAGCAACAGGGAGGATGGGCGGAGAGGAGGGAGCAGGGACTGAGGAGACCGCTCAGCCCAAAGGAACTTTCTGATGCGGACATCTGCACCCAGCAGGGTCCCGCACCCAGCAGGTTCGTGGGGCTCCTGGGCTTTGAAATGTAGCCGGGGTGGGGGTGGATGGGGAGTTGGAGCACAATTTTATATTTCCGTCAATTTTACTTAAACCTGAACCAGTGCATGTGGCTGGGGTTGCCGTGTCAGACAGCACAGTCACAGGGCTCCAGGCTGTGGGCCAGACTGCCTTCCCCTTGGGGGACAGGATGCTGCAGCAGGTGCTGAGCAGAGGGAACGCACGCCCTGTGAAGTTCCGAGACGGCCACCATGGCCGCTGAGGGAACACACTGTGGCCAAAGGAAGCAGGAGGCCCCGGGGAGTCCACACCAGGAGGACGGGGAGGGCACGTGGGCAGCTGCCGTGCTGCTGGGGATAGGTGGTTCCATCTGGACATTTGAAGGTGGAGCTGACAGGATTTGCTGGGGACTGAGCCAGCGTGTGGGAGAGAAAAGCCAAGCATGTTTCAGCAATTTCTGAGCCGAGCAAGTAGAACAGGGTTGCCTAGTGCCCCCGAGACTAATTGTGGACGTAAGGGGCTAAGCAGAGCGGTGAGGGGACAGCAAGGGCTCCTCTGAATCTGTCAGGCTCGAAGCGCCTGGTGGACATCCGTGTGGCCGGGACACAGGTGGGCACATCGGGGGCAAGCCGGAGGGTGAGGGCAGGCGCTCAGGCTGGCAGGATTGCTGCGTCGACGGGACACTCCGTATTCGTGTCCTCTGAGACCGTAGCCTTGAGCCACAGAGCAGTGCAGCGCTGAACATTCGAAGTGTGGCAACGGCCACTGAGCTACCACATTTTTAAATGCGTTTCATTGTAGCTGATGTACATGTCCGAGGTCACGTGTGGCCAGGGCTCCACACAGGGTGGCACAGCCCTGGGGGCCACTTACAGGGTGGCCACGGTCCTGGGACAGACACAGGCAGAAAGGAAGACGCCCCAGAGTGAGCCCCGGGCTGCTCCAGTGTTCAGACGAGGTGAGGCAGAGGCTGGGATGGTTTTGCGAAGAGGGTGAGAGCGAGAGGTAGTGCTGGCCCGCATGCACAGAAAGACTCGGCACAGAAGAAACCACCAGCCCTGCCACATGCTGTGGACACGCCAGGGAAGGGGATGACCAGGCCTGTAAGTCTGACAGCCTGAAGGGGGAACTCTGAGTCCAGAGGGCCGCGTCCTCGCCCCGCAGCCGGACTCTCGTGCAGGGTCTGCTGCCCACACAGCCTCACTCACCCGCGCACAGGCCCCCCAGAGCCGCAGTCTCCACCACCCAGGGCTCCTTGCCCTGCTCCAGGAAGGAAATCACCTCCGGCTTGGAAATGGTGACACCTGGTGTGGGGAAAAAAACACACTCCCAGTGACTGGGGGACCCGGTCAGCTCCAGCAGGAGAGGCGGATGCAGCTGAGGTGGCGGGGAGGGGGCACCTCAGGGTTGAAAACGACGCACCTCCACCCCACGGAGCCACCCTGGAGCTGTCACAGGCGCCACCTCACCGCCAGGGCGAGGGGCAGGAAACTCACCAAGCGAGACCAGGTTTCCGTAGGTCTCCAGCATCACGTCTCTGTACAGAGCCCTCTGGGCGGGTGCCAGGTGCTGCCACTCCTCCCGGGAGAAGAGCACGGCCACGTCCCCGAACAGGTCTGCGCCCTGGAACAACAGGCGGGTGCTGTGTGTGGGGTTCCAGGATGGTGCGGGGGTGAGAGGAGACGGTGTCCCTGCAGGAGTGCGCTGTCCTGGGGAACAGATGGCAAAAGCACTCTGGTGCGAGCGGGTGAAGCTGAACGCGGATGAGGGCAAAGGAGAACGTTCAGACAAACGAAACAGGTCTGGGATAAAGATTAAAATCTAACTCAGTGGCCTCCCTGGTGGTGCGGGGGTTAAGTCTCAACACTGTGAAGCTTTCCGCAGCTTCTGCAGCATGAGTTCGATCCCCAGCCAGGGAGCTACGGACACCAAACCTCTCCTGTCTCCCCGCTGCTCCCCTCAGCAGTGGATTTCAGTGGGATCCACCTGTTCTGCTCCCCAGTGTGTCTCTGGGGAGTCCTCTCAGCCCCTGCACCTCTGGCCTACACCCGTGCCCTTGGATGCATAAATAAATAAATTTTTTAAAAAAATCTAACTCAGAGCAGTTGGCCTGTGTATGAGCACAACGCTTGCTCTGTGGCTGGAGCACAACAAAGACCTGTCATTGGTTCTTTTATGGAGTCACAACAAAGAATACCAAGGGTTTTTAATAGAGTTTTCCCCAGATATTTTATACTTTTATTTTAAAGAATTTTTATTTACATCTAGCATCGCTTCAAGAGACAGGTGCCTCACATTCCATCAGGACAGAAAACGGGCGTTTCTCCTTCTAAGAAGAATCTTGCACAAGGACGCTTCTATTAACTGCAGAGTTTTCTATCAAGTGAAAAAAATGACTCAACCATTCTGGTGTTTTAGATGGAGGCTGGGTCGGCTCTCAAGGGCCTTCGAAGCTCTGACCATCCAGGTTCCAGACAATTCGTCCCTCTGGCCAGCTGTTTTGCAACCCGACCCCCGCTCTTCTCTCACTGGAAGCTGAAGGAGCTGATGGGCATGGCCCAGGGTCAAATGCTCTGCCAACTGGCACTGGCCCTCACTCATGGCATTAAGGTCTGTGGACCCGGTCACGCTTCAGTCACACCCCCAGCCATTGGTCTCCCCTACGCAGGAGGCCGCAGGCCCATGTCATCACTCCCGCGGGTCCATGAGGCAGGTGCTCATTTAATCAATTTCTGAGCCCTCTGGCCTCCTGGACACCACCACGTCGTGACAAGGTGTGGGCAGGTGTGCACAATACACCCACGGGCGTCGGTGAGCGTGGAGGGGGAAACGGAGGGCACTCACTGCCTCTGGGAACCAGACTCATGGATGGAACCCAGTGGGATGCTTCGGGGTAAGGAAAGCAAATATTTACATGATTTTTAGACTCACAAGGGACATGACTTTTCGGGTTTCATGGGCTGACAGGCCTCCTGGTTCCTCTCCTGGGGCCGGGCAGAGTCCTGAGGTGGCAGAGCTAGGAAAGTGCAAAGGGGGGAATGTCAGGCTGGCCTCATAGTTCCCCAAATGCCAAAATCCACGCCCCCAATCCCTAACCCCGACCCACGACAAAGCTACAGGGTATCAGGACAAACTGCAGACCTTACCCTACCCCAGGAAGCCCTGCTGGAAGGTGACAGGAAACCGATGGCTTTCCGTGCCCTCTCCCGGAGAGACCGAGAGAATTCTACCAGTGATGACGCATGTCCAAGACAGGGAAGCGCAGCCCTGACCACGGCACTGGGCCCACCTTGACCCAGGACGAGGAAGGCTGACCTCAGGTCCGCAAGGACAGTCTGCTTGATTTGCACACACCCCCCACGGTAAAGGCGCCTCCCCAGAACCTGCCGTGCCCACAATGCAGCACCTAGAGACGCCCCACTAACAGCCCCACCTACAGCCCCGCTAAGGGCCTGGCGGCACCCTTCTGCAGATGCTGGTGAGTCAAAAAATGGGGTGCGGCTGCAGGAGCAGGTCAGACACAACCCACCAGCACAGAAACGCCCGACAGACACATGACACCTGCTGACACCGACCCCTTAACCTTCCCGAGCGAGGACGGCCTGAGCCGCCTCGGGCCCGGCGCGCTCTGGAAAGACCAGCAGCCTCGTCGGCGCGGCGGGGCAACCACGGGCGCTCAGGTGTGGGTGTGGTGACGCGCATCTGACGACGCGGGGACCGAGCCCCTGACTCAGCGCCGAAACCAACCCTGCCAGGGTAACACGTGCAAAGGAAGGAGAAGCGGCGGGGCAACGGCACCTCCAGCGCAGCCCCCGCCGCGCGCGAGGCCCCCCGCGGGCTCCGAGGCGGGCGTCGCGCCGGCCCGCCTCCCGGTGGTGGCGCCACACCCCTGCGCGCTCCGCAGCTCCTTGAAAACACCATGGAGCGCGGCGCTGCCCCACACCGAGGGGAAACGGGCGCGCGGGGACCGGGACGCGGAAGCCGCGGACGCTCGGGCGCGGGCGGGGCCGCGCGGGCCGCCGGGAAATGGAGTCCGGCCCGGAGCCCGCAGGCGCGGGCGGGGGCGAGCCGCCCGGTCCCCCGCCCAGGCCCGCCGGCCGCGCCGCCGCTCCCGCACGCGCGCCGGACGCCGGGCCAGCCCCGGGGCCGCTCACCTGCCGCCTGCTCGGGCCCGGGTGCCGCCGCGCCCCGCCGCCCCGGGCGCGCCTGCTCGTCGGCGCCGGCGGACTCGCCGCCCGGGGCCGGAAGATGGCGCCGACGCACAAAGCCCCGCGGGGGCCGCGTCCTGATTGGGCCGGCGCCGCAGTCGCTTCTGGGAATCGTAGTCTCCGGGCGTGACAGGCGGCGAGCGCCAGGCGCTGGATCTCGCGATCTCTCCCGCGGCCGAGGGCGGGCCCGCCGTGGGTGCCGGGGCAACGCAGCCTGCGGGCTGTCCACCGGCGGGGTGGGAGTGCGGTGTTGGCGCGTAGGGCACGGAGGGCAGTGCCCGAAGAAAGTTAAAGGGTCAACTCCAGGGCCCCGGGAAACCCTGCTGGAGCTGATCAAGCCCAAGGAGAGCCAAAATCACCCAGAGGGGAGGAAGGGGGCCCACCCACCCCAAAGGCAGTAGAAAATGTCGGATGGAGGCATCACAAGATCAGAAGCCGGCCGGGGGCTAGAATTGACGAACACGTTAAAGCAGCTACTATAGAGGGCTACTATAGAGACTATCCCCAGGCGGGCGGCAGGGGTAATGTGGGGAGTGACCTGTGACACAAGCACCTGTCTTTACAGAGCAGCCTCCTCACGCCCTGGAAGTGATTACAAGCCTCTCCTAAAGGAAGACCACATTAGAATAACTCCTGCCCTGGCAAAATGCACCTCTGGTCGCGGAACTGCCCTGCCATTATGCAGGTGCCTCGCTATTTCTTTCTGTTCCTAATAAACCTGTCCTTTTAAAAAATCACATTCGCCCGCCTGTGTTGGTGCAAACGTCTTTCTGTTCTGCGAAAACTCGACCTGTGTGATGAAAGGGTAGTTCTGCCAAGACGTTTCTCAGTGTTGAGGGTTAGGGAAGGGGAGATAGGGTGAGACACTGAGCTGGTACAGCTGGAAATCTGCAGACACGTTGGTTATGGCCTGTCTGCTGAGTTAATTTTCCAGCCCAAGGACCTGTCTGGAGGGAGTGGGGAGCAGCACTGTCTGCAGACCAGCCTCAGCACAGGGAGACAAGCTTGAGGCCAGACATCCCGGGGGTGATACAGAGCTCCAGGGTGGACATCACAGACCCTGGCAGCCCTGAAGGCTGCTCGCTGCTGAACTGCCTTTTGTCAGCGCACTGTAAACAGCCAGCTGGAGATGAAATGTGAAGGCGGCTTCTTTAGGGTGTTAACCCCGTCTTCCGGGTTGCTGGCTGTTGATTAAAGCGCACCTTAAGGATTCAATTCCATTCTCCACTTTATTATCATTCGGCAGTGACAGGTGGCTTCACCTCTGGTCTTCTGGTTCCAAGCGGTCATGTAAGGACCCTGCACACTGAATACCACCTCTCATCAAAAGGTCATTTTCACCATGGCAACTCAGGCCAAATGCTCTCCCTTGCCCCAACCTGCTGCCAGGACTGAGAAACGACAACCCAGCAGCACTTGTGCCGTGCACCCCAGGAACGGACAGCGTGAAGTTTCTGCACCTCATTCGAGGCTGGAGCCTGCACGCTTCTCTGGCAGCTGTTTTTACCTAGGAGCGGCCCACTCCAGGGTCTCCCTAGGGGTACTTTGCTCTGTGTACAAACAAACCTCGCTGTTACTTCTACTAGAGTATCATTCAGCTGTGATACCACAGTCACACACCGGGGAGTCCCAACACCCGACAGCAGGTGGCCGGGTGTGGGTGCTTGGTTCCTGGGGCGGCGCTGCGCGCGCCTGACCTGACCATCCAGTGCGGGGGCGCCGTGAGATGCTGCTACACACACGTGCGTGCCTGTGCTCACTTTCTTCTAGTGTGTCAAGTCACCTCCAGGGAGCAAGTATCCTGCCAGAGGCCTGACGGAGGGGAACGCGAACAGCCGACCTGGTAACTCCCAGGACACCCTGACGTCACTGCAGGCGGACGCTGTCAGGCTGTGAGATTCTCGTTTCCTTCCTGGCCCAGAGATGATTCACTTTTCGGGGTAACGTGGCTAAACTTCTTGATTTCGGGCGTGGCCCGAGGCCGCCCGGCCGGCGCGCTGAGAACGGGCCGCGGCCGGGGCGTCCGCCGTCGGCGCGCCCGCGGGTGAGAACGTACCTGGGGTCGCCTCGTAACCACGGCACCGAGACTGGCCAGCGGGAGCCTGTGCCCCACGAACACGCGGTCAGCCTTAAAAGAAAAAAAGAAAGAAAGAGAGGGCAGGAATGACGTCCCGGCGCTCATCTGGCCACAGGCTCCGCCGCGGCGCCCGGCAGCCGCCATGTCTCCCGGCGCGGCCGGCCCCCTGCGCGTGCGCACTGCCCCGCCCCGCCCCGCGCGCCCGACGCGCCGGAGCCGGCGAGCTGCGCCTGCGCAGTGCGAGCGCCCACCCCCGCCCGGGCGCGGCATCTGGGCGGGGGACGGCGGGTCGGCCCGCGGAGGGCCCGGGCCGCGCCTGGTTCTGGGCCGGGAGCCCAGGGGCCCGGGGTGAGGGCGGAGGCGCCCCGGCCGGAGGAGGCCCGGCCCCGCCGTCCCGCGCCCGGCTTCCCAGGATGCCCCGCGCCGCCCGCCCGGCCCGGACTCCACTTCCCAGCGGCCCCTGCGGCCGGCCCGCCGCCTGCGCCGCCGCGGCCCCTTTGTGCGCGGCCTCCCGGAGCGCGAGACCCGCCCGCCGCGGGCGCGGGGCTTCCGGCCTCCCGAGCGGCCGCGTGAGGAGGCGCGACGGGAGGCGACGAGGGGACGCGCGGCCTGGCCGGAGCGGGCTGTGAGGGGCTGGCGGCGCGCGGGCCCCTGTCACCGCGTGGGGTCGCGTGGAGCAGGGTGGGACCTGGGACCGTGTCACCGTGTGAGTGTGTGACGGGTGGGACCTGGACCCTGTCACCATGTGAGTGTGTGTGTGAGACGGGTGGGACCTGGACCCTGTCACTGTGTGTATGTTGGACCCTGTCACTGTGTGTATGTGTGTGTGTGTGACAGGTGGGACCTGGACCCTGTCACCTTGTGTGTGTGTGTGTGTGTGTGTGTGTGACGGGTGGGACCTGGACCCTGTCACCATGTGAGTGTGTGAGTGTGTGAGATGGGTGGGACCTGGACACTGTCACCGTGTGAGAGTGTATGTGTGTGTGTGTGACGGGTGGGACCTGGACCCTGTCACCGTGTGTGTGTGTGTGTGTGTGTGTGTGTGTGTGTGAGAGAGAGAGAGACGGGTTTGACCGGGACCCTGTCACCATGTGTGAGAGTGTGTGTGTGTGTGTGTGTGAGAGACGGGTGGGACCTGGACCCTGTCACTGTGTGTGTGTGTGTGTGTGTGTGTGTGTGTGTGTGTGTGTGAGAGAGAGAGAGAGTGTGAGAGGTGGGATCTGGACCCTGTCACCGTGTGTGTGTGTGTGTGTGTGTGTGTGTGTGTGAGAGAGAGACAGGTGGGACCTGGACCCTGTCACTGTGTGTGTATAAGTGTGTGTCTGAGTGTGACGGGTGGGACTTGGACCCTGACACAGTGTGTGTGTGAGAATGTGACAGATGGGACATGGACCCTGTCACCGTGTAAGTGTGGGTGTGTGAGAGTGTGACGGGTGGGACCTGGACCCTGTCACCATGTGTGTGTGTGTTTGCACTCGCACGTGTGTAACAGTGGTGGGCCCCGCCGTGTCACTGTATGTGGCCGGGCCCCTGTGAGGGGGTGTCCCAACATGGGAGTGCAACAGGGTAGGATCCAGTGTGAACAGTGTGGGACCGCGTGAGACCATCGCAGCGTTTGAAAGGCGCGTGATGGTGTGCGAGGCCACGTCACCTGTGGCCGCGTGTGTGGTGGTGACAGTATTTGAGAACATGTTCTGCAGTGAGTCCGTGGGGCCAGGAAGGTGCCTGACGGCGTCTGAGCCACTGTGTGCGCGTGAGCTGCACAGGGTGCGTGTGGAACCACGTGTGACATGACGGGACAGCGTGCCCGTGTTAGTGACCGCGTGAGAACAGCAGGACTGCGCATGTGACCACGTGGCAAGGTGACAGGACTGGCGCCACGTGCGAGGGCCTCGTGACGCCGTGTGAGCCCGTCTCTCACCGCCGACTGTGACGCTGGTGGTGTGCGTGGTCAGCGAGGCTGTGTGGTGACGGCCTTCGGACCATGTGTGACAACTTGAGGCACCACGTGTGTCGCCCGCGAGTGCGACAGTGACCAGAAGGCCTTGGGAGAACCCCATGGGGGGGACTGTGTCCACCGGCGGCCAGGGTGCTGCGGGCTGAGGGGCGTGTACTGCAGGGTGCAAGGCCGCATGTGGGGAAGAAGCCGGGAGTGGCGTGAAGGGCTAGACGTGACTTTAGGGGGAGAGGGGAGAGGGCGCGCCCCCGGGGAGAACTAGCTTTGGGTCCCCAGGCCCGCCGTTCTTACCTCAGTGTGCTCTCCGGGGCTCCTCTCCGGCCGGGCGCCGGGGCCTGGTGCACAGTGACTCACGCTCGACGTGCGCTTGGCCCTGCGGGGCGACCAGAAGCAGGGGCCTGGCTGCTCGGTCCTGTGCCCTCCAGGCCACGCTCCGCAGCCCGTCTGTGAGGCTTTGGCTTTGAGGCCTTTTCTGTCATCCTGGTAGAAAGGGGGGAGGCATGTGGCCCTTCCACACCGTCATGGGGTGGGAAGCCTAAAAAATGGATGCCGGGTTGCTTCAGCTAGGTATTACCATGACGTGTTAGATCCGTTCACGGCTCGAGAGGCCACCTGTGGGCAGGCGGGGCGCGGGCCTGACGTGGCCGTTCCCTCGGAGGGGCGATGCTGTGTGTGGAAGTGCAGAGGAGACTGTGCACAGACGGCTGTGGCATCCGTGAGACCTGGAGCACATGGGGAAGGAGCTGTACGCCGAGGCAGGAATGACCGACTCAGCGATCCCTCACGGAGGGGGAGGGTGGCGGACAGGCTGGCGGCGCTGGGGCCGCAGGGCAGGCCTGGCATTTCATGGTTTGTTTCTCCTCCAGCTCCACTTCCTCAGGACGTTGCCCTTCCAGCGCAGAGCCAGACAGAGGAGGATCAGAAGAGCTGTCGTAAATCCTCCCATTGTTAAAGCCATGTCTGAGGTAAGGCAGCATTTTTCTCTTCCCTGAAATGCCTTGTTTTTCACATGGTATATGAATGTTTTCTTTTTCTTCTGCAAGTCCCCAGCCTAAGAAAGTCCCCTTCAGTTGGCAGCCTGGTCCCACATCCTCCAATCCAGTAAGAGGAAGTCATAAAGAGCTCAGTGAGCTGCCTTTTTTAAAACAAAAAAAGACAAAACAGCCAGCATGTTCATGTGCCGTCAAGAAATGACTCAGTACCTCCTAGGTGTTCCGCGTCTCGCTAGGAGCGCTCAAGAGGCAAAAATGCACTCCCTGGTGGCATTTGAAAGGCTTCATTACAGAGACTTGATGAACTGAGGTCAAGATGTGTGTCCAGATGGGGCCACTAGCTTAGAGCTTCTCAACAGATGCAGCCTTGGGAGGAAGGCAAAGCCGGGGCAGCTGGGTAGTTCTAAAGCTAGCCAGGGACAGTGTCTCTTGCGTAAGGTGACTTCAGACGGCGAGATGTGTTGCCTCTTCAGCCTCAAATTATGGGCAGTTAGGCAGGATCCTTTCAGCACTCTGGGCTTTCAAGAAAGGATTCCTGGGGGCCTCCCTCGGGGCGCAAGGGGTTAAGTCTTAGCATTATGAAGCCACTGCAGCATGAGTTCTATCCCCAGCCAGGGAGCTATCCACATGGCACTGCAGACCTCTCCTGTCTCCCCGCTGCCCCCTCAGCAGTGTGCTTCAGTCAGTCTGCCTGTTCTGCTCCGCACTCTGCCTCTGGTGAATCCTCTCACCCCCTGCACCTCTGGCCTGCACCCCAGCTCTTGGACGCATAAATAAATACATCTTAGAAAAAAAAAAAAAAAAGACTAGGACTCCTGGGAGTGATGAGGTCCTGTTCTAGGGATGCCCTGAGTTATAGGGTAAGATATTCTGGGCCCTCCAGGTGAGGCAAGGAAAGACAGGACATTTTCTGAAAAAGGAGAATGAGGGAATAATTGAATCTACATTTAAAAGACTACATAGATGTATAATAACAGAAACAGTACACGAGCGCAATGAGAGACAGGAGCAGCACGTGAACGATCAGCCCAAAATGTCCAGAAGTATGTGCAGGTGTAAATTAGGAATGGAGAAATACTTCTTCCTTGGTGGACCGCATAGTTTTTAAAGACGTACCACGTGTATGTGCTGATAAATGATGTTTTTGTCCCCATGGACTGTGGTGTGTACCGGGTTATTATACGATGAAGTAATGATCTTGTTTTAAATCAGTGGGTAAAGAATGGATTGTTTGTTTGGAGGGAAAAAATTCTCCACACTTCGAAGCTTAATACAGCCTATGGGTTGAATGTAAAAAAACAAACCCATCCATATTGTGAGTCAAAAATACAGAGAATGTCATGAAGGCAGGTGAGCCAGGCGCAGTGCTGTCCGGTCTTCCTGTGATGGTGGATGTTGCGTAGCTGCCCTGTCCAGGTTAGTGGCCGCAGGTCACTGTGGGTAGGGAGCATGTGCCTGTGTGGCTTGGGTGTTAACTGAAATTGAAGTAGCCACATGTGACCAGTAACCAGTGTGCTGGGCGGCACAGATCTAGATCCGTAAAGTGATAAGCCAGGAAGAAAATTAAGGGGGATGCCGTCCAAGTCGCTCATTTTACAGAGGAGGAAGATACTCTGGTTTCTCTTCAGATCACGTAAATCTTTCGCCTTTTACAGAGGAGGAAGAGAGGCCAGGCTCTTTCCTGTGTGTCAGCGTTTGCATTTGCTCCTTCCCGGTCTGAGTCGGGCGGCTAGCTCACCACTTCATTTATTGTTTAGACATTACCTCTGACGTCTGCTTTGTGTCTCTCAGATACCCCTGTTGCTCTCAGTCAGCTGACCGTCTCCTACTTTCTGTCAGCATAGTTATTACTTCCTGACATGGTGTGGCCGACACCCAGTGTCTTTCTCTGCGTGACACTGTCTTTTGTCCACCTCTGTGACTCCTACAGCAGGGCCTGGTAGGCACAGGCGTTCCGTAAACGTTGCTCAGTAAAAACACAGTTGGACAAAGGGGTGAATTTCCCATCTCTTTCCACGTGAGGCCCAGGAGGGAACAGCAACGCCTCTTCTCTGCTGACACTGACTTGGCAAAGGAAGGAGGACTCAGAGGGCAGACGTGGCTGCTCTGCCACCCTTACCTCAGGCCTGCTGAGACACAGCCTCCAGTGATAGGGCCTGGGAGACCACATTTTTATCAAGTCCCGGGGGGATTTTAAGATTTTAGTTCACACCTTTGGGGACCTAAAGTGTACGTTTGGTAAACAGCATGTACTGGTTGCCTTTTTGGAATCCAGTCTGTGACCTTGGCCTTTCAGTGTTGCGCGCATTTTCGTGGCATGCCACTGCTGATGGGTGTGAATCCACCACACCGCGCTTGGCTTTCTCCCTGTTTTCTATTTCTGTCTGTTCCTTTATTGCCCCCGTTTTTGCCTTCTCTTGCTTACATTGGTTCTGATTTTTCTTATCCTCTTGTCAGTTACACCTTTTATCACCGTCTCAGTGGGCACGCAAGGGCGGTGAGCATTCCGGCGCTCGCTGGATGCTCATCTTCTTTCCCTTGCTCCTGTTCCTCCCGTCGCTAGTCCTCCCACAGCTTCCTCCTCGGTCAGACTCCCCACAGCGCTTGAAGTCCAAGCCGTTAGGTAGTGCGGAGTTACTTTTTCGCAGCCCTTAATATCTCCCTGTGTTTCTGTGCTTCCATTTCCCTTTTATTTTGACTTCCTCCTACCTGAAGAACTATTAGCATTTTCCCGAGTACACGTCAACAGTTCATTTCCAGTCCTAACTGTTTTTTCATTAGTTTTTTTTTTCCCCCCACAGTTCAGTAAGTTTGGAAAATCCTAATCCCAGTAGAGAAAAAAACATCTAGGACTTACTTTTAAGAAAATAATTGGAAATCTTTACAGCATCTTAGTGGAAAATTAAGTCATCTATCTGAAAATAAGACGGGGGTGTCTCCCTGGGGGCGCAAGGGGTTAAGACACAACCTATGAAGCTGTCCGTAGCCACTGCAGCATGAGTTTGATCCCTGGCCAGGGAGCTACCCACATGGCGCAGCCCTCTGGTCTGCACCCCAGTTCCTGTATGTATAGATAGATAAATATTTGAAAAGAAGAGAGGGGGAGGGGGAGGGGTTGTGCCACGTAACGTCATCTGCCCAGCAGAAGTGACTTTATAGGAAAACTAAAAGGCCTGGGTAGTCGTGGACTTGTCTGTGTAACGGGACATTTGAACACATACATGCTACATTTTGATTATTCCTAGGAGATGGGGGTGAGGTCGGCAGGTGTGGGGAATGAAGGATTTCTGTTTCCTTAAGGAAGTTGAAGAAAATTCACCGAGGGTGGAAATACTAAATTCTAAGTTTCTTAAGTGATAAAAAACTTGTTTGACATTTTTGTTTGAGCGAAGTGACGCAAAATGCTTGCAAGGTATTCAGGTCTCGTGGCCAGAGGGCGATGTCAGGCGCTCAGAACCCGGAGTCCACGGGCTTGTACTTGCCACTGAGCGGTGTCCCAGGGCGCCTCGGGAGCTGTGCCTGTGCCGCTGCCCGCGGGAGAGGTGGTGTGGTGGGGCACTTCAGCGCAAAACTTTAAAGTTCCCCTTGAAGCCTTTGTGTTTCCACAGACTTGATGACAGACTATCTTATCTGGGACAGGTTTTTTATCTTTTAAGACTCACACTTGGTTCCTTCTGCCTCAAGCTTTTACTCACCTCCCAGGTTTCCCTGGAGTAAGAAGTACTTTAGGGTCTCCCTGGTGGCTCAAGGGGTGAAGACGCAGCCTGTGAGGCTATCCGCAGCCTCTGCAGCACAAGTTCGATCCCCGGCCAGCCAGGAGGAACCCACATGGCACAGCAGACCTCTCCTGACTCACCTGCTGCTCCCCTCAGCAGTGTATTTTGGCCAGTCTGCCTGTTCTGTTCCCCGCTCTGTCTCTGGGGAATCCTCTCACTGCCTGCACCTCTGACCTGTGCCCCGTTCTTATATGTAAAAATAAATCTTTAAAAAAAAAAAAAGAAGAAGAAGTACTTTAGAGGGGAGCGCGTTTCTGCACAGCTGATCATCTCACAGATTTCCTGGGAGCCACACTTCTGCTCTCAAGCATCTCTCCATCACGCAGGAACAGCACGTTACGAGACTCGCTCTCCCGCTGGTGTGTCCGAGCTCGCTTCAGTGGGGCGCTACTCTGCAGCCCCGTGAAGACCATGGGAGAGACGCTCCTCTGACAGCCACCCGCGGGGGGTCTGGAGACGCCTGCTGGGCCGGGCATTCACCCTGCGTTGCTGCCTGTGGGGAGATCTGGGGTGGCCGTTGGCAGGGCCCAGTCCAGTAGCTGTTCAGCAGCCGGTGTGGTGTAGACCTCAGCATGCAACAAGTCACTTCAGCCGCCCGGGCACAGTGCCCAGCTGCAGAGGCTGGCGTTGCTCGCACGTGCCGCGCCTGAAGGGTTGTTTCAGGCTGGACAGCAAGCCCCATGGCCTGCGGCAGATTTCTCTTGTCAGGAAGAATGCCTGCTTGCAGTTTTTAGGGAACAAAGTAGCTCTTGTCCCTTCATCTCGTGTAGGGTCCCCCCGCCCTCCGACATTAGATGTCAAAACCTTTGACCAGCTTCATCTTGTGTGTCCCATCCTCTTGTTTCAGTGCAGACACCTCTGCAAAGCTCAGTTCATTCAAATGCCACTCGTTTAAGCGAATGCCTTCCGTTCACTCCAGGCCGCCTTTGGGAAGGAGTTTGTGTTTAAATGCGTAGCGCCCGGCAAGTGACTCGGGTCGCGATCTGATGAGGACCCTGGTGACGTGGGAAGGCAGCCCTTCCCGCAGAGCCCGCGTGTGCGCGTGCCCAGGGAGCCAGGCCCCGCGGCTTGCCCCGTGCCTTAATTCCTCCTCGCACGCCCGCACGATGGAAAGAATGTGCTTGAACACGAATGTGTCCGTGTCCTTTCAGAGCTCGGTGACCTTCGGGGACGTGGCTGTGGACTTCTCCCGGGAGGAGTGGGAGTGGCTGAGCCCCGCGCAGAGGGGCCTGTACCGCAGGGTGATGCTGGAGAACTACCGCAACCTGGCGTCTCTGGGTGAGGAGGGCCTCCCGGGACTTGGGGGGGGGGGGGGAGACGGGGGCTTTCTGCTAACTTTTGGGGGGATCTCAACTTCTCTGGGGTAGACTGTGACACAGCCTCTTCTTCCCAGTCTTCACCAGACCTCCCCCTGCGCGGCGCCCCGGCCTCCGGTGACCGAGGACTTAATTTGGTTGCTGGATTTGCTGATTCGCTTTTCATTTCTTGTAAGCAGGAGTTTCCGTTTTTAAACCAGACGTGATCTCGTTGCTGGAACAGGGGAAGGAGCCCTGGGTAGTGAAGCAGGAGGGGACAGGAGGTGCCTGCCTCGGTGAGTAAGAGAACTGGGAGGGTGGGAGCGCTGGGTCCTGAAGGGTTCCAGCCCGCGCTGCTGGCCCGGGGCGCTTTCCGGAAAGGCTCAGGCAACCCTGTGCCGTCTCTGGCGTGAACTCCTGACTGATCTCCTTGTCTCTGTCCTCTCCGTGTTCTGCTGTCTCTGCTGGCGCCTTTTCCTCTTTTCCGGGCGCTCGCGTCTGAGTCTGCTCAGGTTGCTCCATCACCTCAGACACACGTAGAAGGGTTCAGACCACGCAGTGTCCTCCGTGTCAGTCTCTCATTCCTTCCAGAGGAAGGGGTCGTCTACTTGCCTAGTCTTTTGCCAAGACTCACCGCGTTTCCACTTTGAGAAAATCATGGTGCCGCGTTCTGGGCATTGTTGAGAGGTTTAGAAACCATCCAAGTAAAACGCAATTCCAGTGCTCTGTTCACGCCGTGGTGACTGGAAGGCGAGGGCATTTAGCAGAAAGAAGCCAAGGAAATAAGCTGGTGGGGGAGGTGACGCATGGCTCTGGGCGTGCGAGATTTTCGTGTACGGGACTTGGCGTGGGTGTGTGGTTTGTTCCCTCGAGTAAATACCTATGAGTGGGAGAATCGAACCATATGGTGGGAATATATTTAACTTTTTAAGCAGCTTCCAGCCTTCCACAGCGATTGTGCCCTTTGTACCTTCCCACCCAAAACACACGCAGCCCTGGCAGCGCCACTGCCCGCGCCTCCCAGTCCTCCTCGTGATGGTGCTGGGGTGTCTCCTTGCAGCCATGATGTGCGCTTCTCTGGCGGTAGCAGTACTCAGCATCTTTCCACATGCTTACTGCCCGTTGGTCTTTCATGCGGTGTTTCGAATCTTTGCTCATGTTTTGTTGGGCTTTCTTATTGCTAAGGGGTGAGGGGCTCTGCAGACCACCTTCATGCAGCCCTTTGTCACGTACCGCGACGGGATGTTTGTAGGCCGCACGTCTGATTCATTTGTCCCGGTCAGGGCCGCTTGTGTCTTGTCTAAGCAGTTCTTGCCACTCCTAGGTCCCAGAGATCGTCTTCTGTGTCAGCGCCTGGGACTTCTGGAGTTTCAGCGTTCACATTTGCATGTATGATCCCTTTGATCTAATTTTGCGTCGTGCGTGAGGTCAAAGTTGAGGTCCTCTCATTTTTTCCATTTGGACAGAGAGTTGGTCCGGTTGCCTTTGTTGAAAAAGCCTTTCCCTCTTCCGTGTTATCACCTCGTTGGCACCTTGCTGAGCTCCGTTGGCCGTATGCGGATACATGCCTGCCAGCAGCGCTGCCCCAAATGCAGTGTCCGGACCAGCTGCACCCCATGGAGCTCTTTGGAAATGCAGGTTCTGCTCCATCAGAGACTCCGTGCCCAGGGCACGCTGATCCGTGTTTCAGCGCGTTCCCCAGGTGACACTGGAGAGGGCAGCTGTGAGGAGACATCCTTCGCTTTTCGGTCTAATGACAGCACCTCTGCGCGTGCTGTTTACACACAGTTTTACTCAGTTTCACGGCCACACATTTCCTCTCACCTCTCTCACTGTGAGTCTTCAGCATTTCATCTCTGTGTGGATCTCCCAGGGTGCATTATGCGTGTGATTTGGAAGGACATTGAGGTAGGGTAGCAGGAGTTAGCAACCTTATAAATGAAGTCTCTATCCTTTTGATTGTTTTTGATAGCAAATCTTGCTATCTACTATGTTAATTTGTCCAGCTTGGTGGAACTATCCCATCTGCTTCCGGCCACGTACCCACTCACACAAGCAGAGCGTCCAGTGGAGGGGTGTGTCTGTGTGGTACTTCATGTCACCATTTCTCCCAGATATTAAGCGCCTTCTAGCTGGCAGCCTGCTCTAGGCACTGGGTATGGGAAGGTCAATGAACAAGACTTCTGCACATGCAAGCTGGTGACACACAGTGAGGACACAGAGGGAATGAACGGTCAACATGATGGCAGATAATTGCTGCTATTTAAAAAAAAAACCCACAAGGGCAGAAAACGAAATGTGTATTGTATGTAGGATGACCAGGGAAGAGGGGATGTGTGAGCAAAGCCACGTGTGAAGAAATGCATCAAGCCCGCGGGTTAAGCAGGTGTCTGGGCAAAGTGCTTTCAAATAGACAAATAGCAGACAAATAGGCAGACAAATAGCAAGTGCGTGAGGTGAGGCTGGAGGCGCCTCTGCAGCTGAGGTGGAGTACAGAGAGTGATGGAAGAGGTGATCAGAGGGCACCAGCTCACAGAAATCTTGAATAGGATGAACCTTGAATAGGACTTTTGGTTTTATTATAAATCTGGGGAGAGATCATTGAAAAGTATTGAGCAGAAGAATAAGGTGATTTGATCTGGGAATGAAAAAGGGAAGGAGGGGCCTCCCTGGGGGCGCAGGGGGTTAAGACGCAGCCTGTGAAGCTGTCCGCAGCCACTGTAGCACCAGTTCGATCCCTGGCCAGGGAGCTACCCACAGGGCGCAGCAGACCCCTCCTGTCTCCCCACTGCTCCCCTCAGCAGTGGATTTCAGTCGTTCTGCCTGTTCTGCTCCCCACTCTGTCTCTGGTGACTCCTCTCCCTCCGCCCACCTCTGACCTGCACCCCTGCTCTTGTATGCATAAGTAAAAAAAAAATCTTTAAAAAAAAAAGAAAAAGGGAAGGAAAATGAAGGTTAATAAAATTGAACAATGGATATAAAAGTACTTTTCTATGAAGGCACCTTAGATGTACGGATCAGGCGAACATTTACATTTGGTTAGAATGTACCAAATAGAAAGCTTCCTCAGGAAGATGGTTCCATGCTGCCAAAGTTGAACCGTATAGTCTCATGAAGGGCAGCTCAAGCGACTCCCAGTACCTGTCTTTGGGTCTCGGGCCTTAGGTTTTCAGTCTTGCTGACATTGTGAAATTATTGTAAACGTAAAGAATTTAGTTTGAAGGCAGGATAGCCTGAGCCAGGAGCGGAAGGATAATTTGGAGGCTGTTCTGTTGGAGAAGATACGAAATGCTGGTTGTGATGTTAGATGACCCTGTCAATATTTAACTTTTCTGAAAGCCACCTTCATGGTGTATGATTAATTTATATCCTTATCTACTTTCTTAAGTTCTCACTCTTTATAATCTCACATCTGTAGACTGCATGTAGCAGCTGTTAAGCCCTCAAATTTCTTGGGTATCTTATTCACCAGTTTTTGTTTTCAAAGTCCTTTTCTTCTGATGCATCGATACAAAAGGCATTTGTTGTATTGCTGTCTTGTAGATTGGGAGCGCGTATTCAAACGCAGCGAACATCCATCAAGGCAAGGTATTTACGAAGAGTCACCTAAAGCGGTGACAGTGGGAAGAAGCCACCTTACTTATATCCCTGACCGCCCCACCTTGAGCGAACACTGCGGAAGTGAGGACTGGTATAAGAACCTGCTAGGAGGTCAGGGGGTACATTCTCGTCAGTTGTTCATTACTCACAAAGAAATCCTCGCTGAAGAGCAAAGGGATGAGTATACTAAATCTTGGCAAACTTTCCACCAGGACGCACTCTTTGATATCACACAGAGTTTCCCCACCAAAGAAAGAGCACGGAAGTGTGAGCCACAGAAGAGAAGTTACCGGAAAAAATCGGCTGAAATGAAACGCAATAAAGTCTACGTAGAAAAGAAACTTCTGAAGTGTAACGACTGTGAGAAAGTCTTCCACCAGAGCTCCTCGCTCACTCTCCACCAGAGGATTCACACCGGGGAGAAGCCCTATGCCTGCGTGGAGTGTGGGAAGACCTTCAGCCAGAGCGCCAACCTGGCGCAACACAAGAGAATCCACACCGGGGAGAAGCCCTACGAGTGTGAGGAGTGCAGGAAGGCCTTCAGTCAGAACGCACACCTGGCGCAGCACCGGAGAGTGCACACTGGGGAGAAGCCCTACCAGTGCACGGAGTGTAAAAAAGCCTTCAGCCAGATTGCACACCTGACTCAGCACCAGAGAGTCCATACTGGGGAGAGACCTTTTGAATGTATCGAATGCGGGAAGGCCTTCAGTAACGGCTCCTTTCTCGCGCAGCACCAGAGAATTCACACAGGAGAGAAGCCTTACGTCTGTAACATGTGTGGGAAAGCCTTCAGCCATCGCGGATACCTGATCGTGCATCAGAGAATCCACACAGGAGAGAGGCCCTACGAGTGCAAGGAGTGCAGGAAGGCCTTCAGCCAGTATGCACACCTCGCCCAGCACCAGCGAGTGCACACGGGGGAGAAGCCCTATGAATGTAAAGTATGCAGGAAGGCCTTCAGCCAGATCGCCTACCTTGACCAACACCAGAGAGTCCACACCGGCGAGAAGCCCTATGAATGTATCGACTGCGGGAAGGCCTTCAGCAACAGTTCGTCGCTCGCACAACATCAGAGAAGTCATACTGGGGAGAAACCTTACATGTGTAAGGAGTGTCGGAAAACCTTCAGCCAGAATGCAGGCCTTGCTCAGCATCAGAGAATCCACACTGGGGAGAAACCTTATGAATGTAATGTTTGTGGAAAGGCCTTCAGCTACAGCGGGTCTCTCACGCTCCATCAAAGGATTCATACTGGCGAGAGACCCTATGAATGTAAGGACTGCAGGAAATCTTTCCGGCAGCGCGCACACCTGGCTCATCATGAGAGAATCCACACCATGGAGTCCTTCCTGCCTCTCTCTTCGCCCTCACCCTCCCTGCCCAGCCAGTTGCCAAGACCTGTGGGTTTTATCTCCTAACTGCCTGGGCTACTTGAATCCGCTTCCACGCCGTGCTCTCTGTCCGGTGCACAGTAACACTTGACCGGGACTATGGAAATAGCTTTGCAGTTGGTTTCTGTATTTCCTCTGTCATTTGTCCACATTGCAACCAAACTTGTATTTAAAAACAGTTGGATTATGTCATTTACCCCTTATTATAACCCTTCATCACATCTCAAGCTCCTAGTTTAAAGCACACATTCCTCAAAATACCTAAAAGACCCCCTCCCACCTACCCCCACTCCCCAAAGCCTTGTTCCAGCCTGCTACCCAAAGCCCTGTCTCGGGGCCGCAGCCGCGTCATTCTTTGTATATTTAAGAACTCATATTCCAGCATCAAATGGGGTTGGGTTCTTGCTCTGTTGTGTTTTTTTTTTTATTCCCTCTAATTTTAGGGAACTCTTTTGCCCGTGTTAGCGTCCGTGTTAGCGTTTTCTTACGGCTATAATAATGGTACTACCTCAGAAGTTAGTGGGGGGCATAGGGGAGATGATGCACGGAAGCTGCTCAGCGGAGTGTCTAGCAGAACCCCGTGACTTAATAAACATTCACGTAAAATAAGGAGACACTGGTATACAAAGAAAAGTGATCAGAGGGTGAACAAAAGTGGCATCAGTTTAAGACTTGAGAGACTGAAGGGTTTTGAACAAGAGCAGCCATGGTACAGCAGTGACGAGGGTGTCTGTATAACCCAGAAGGCCCAGTGTAGACTCCACCATGATGCAGAGCAAGATGGCAGCTCCCGTGTCCGCATGAACACAAACATAGCTGATGCTGAGAATCATTCAACGGTTCCAAGAAGCCTGATTTTAAAAATCACTCATAAGTAGAATTTACTGAGGTGCATTCATTTACATTTGAACAAGGGCAAACTTGATATTTATAAAAACTGGAAAGACCGGTAGCCGTACCAAAGAATGACAGAAGATGAATCTGACTCCCTCTCCTCATTTCAAGTGAGCGGTATGAAACCTGTTAGTTCTCACAGATAAAGTTGTTACGTGTCTAAACTGTAATTACAAAACCAGAGGAAAGGCAATCAGAACTCCTGGCCAGTGCTCACGGTTTGGCTGCCCCAGACATCTGACTTAGCAAGCATGGAGTTTAAATAGCTCTGGGACATGTGTTTCTCGCTGCCCACTGTTCACCCCCATTCCTGTGCATCCGGCTTGCTTACACTTGCTGCGACTTCCTGGCTGCTGCCGGCTTTGAGGGTGAGTGACCAGCTCCCGGGAGTATAGGTACAGAGAAGGGGAATGTTCAGTAGAGGATGAAAAGGAAAACTTGACTAGTCATTTTTATCCTGTGGGGAAGACAATTATGTAGATGATAATAGACCCCAAATTAATCTGTAGAGTATCTGTACCTTAAGAAATCCTGAGGATTTTAAGGCTGAAAACTGTGTGAATGTGGACATATCCCCATGTACAGTCCTGCAGATGTGCACATAAAATATCTAATAAAGGTGATTGATAAAGTTGATTTTTCGCTACGAAAACAATCTCTTCATTCAAATGTGAAACAATTGGAGAAATAATCAGAGGACCATGCTAACAAATTCTTGATTTGACCACGTAAAAGGTTTAAATTTTATAGTCAAAGGTAGTGTATCACAAGATTTAAAATCAGAATCCGAGGAAATTAGCACAACACAGAAAACCTGTGAAATGTATGTCCTCAATGTGAAAGTGCTCTTACAAATTAGAGAACGACCTTCCTCTCCCCATGGGCCGAGGGTGTGTACGAGACAGTAGGTGACTGATGAACGTCGGTGGTCATGACTGAATCTCAGTGAGACTAGAAGAAATACAAGCTGGGCCTCCCTGGTGGCGCAAGGGGTTAAGAAGCAACCTATGAATGGGCCTCCCTGGTGGTGCAGCGGTTGAGCGCTGGGTTGCGAAGCTGCCCGCAGCCTCTGCAGCGCTGGTTCGATCCCCAGCTGCTCCCCGGCCCCCGGAGGAGGGTCCCTCATGGCGCGCAGACCTCTCCTGCCGCCCGCTGCTCCCCTCAAAAGTGTACTTCGTCCGTCTGCCTGTTCTGCTCCCCGCTCTGGCGAATTCTCTCACCCTCCCGCGCTTCTGACTGTACCCAGTGCTTGTATAGATAAATAAATAAATCTTTTTAAAAAAAAAAAAAAAGAAGCAACCTATGAAGCTGTCCGCAGCCTCTGCAGCACGAGTTCCATCCCCGGCCAGGGAGCAGCAGACCTCTCCTGTCTCCCGCTGCTCCCCGCAGCAGCGTACTTCAGTGAGTCTGCCTGTTCTGCTCCCCACTCTGGCGAATCCTCTCACCCCCCACACCTCTGGCCTGTACCCCAGTTCTTGTATGCATAAATAAATAAATCTTTTTAAAAAATACAAGCCAGCGAAAGCTCAGGTTGGAGAAAGCAAATTACAAAAGCATAGGAGGGGAAGCACTTCTGTGCACGCAGGAGGGAACAGGAGTTCACACAGCCTTCCCGGAGGAGCACCCGTCCACGCCGCAGTCGTCGCTGAGAAAGCCCACTCGTGCTCTTGCAGGTCACAGCGCCGAGTCTGGCTTTCTTCCAGACCCCGTCCTAGAAAGCAGGTTCGCGGCGTCCCCGCGGCCTGATCAGAAGACGGCCGGGGACAGGGCACGAGACGAGAACCCGACGCGCCTTCTGACGGTCTTTCGCGAGGAGGTGAACAGGCCCCTTCACGCCATTCGCGAAATCCTACACGTGGCAGTCCCGGAGCGGAGGGAGACAGAGGAGAGCGGGGCTGCTCGCGTCCCGAAAGCGTCCTGCAGACAGGGCGGCGGGCGGCGGCGGGGGGAGTGGACAGCCGTGCGCTGCGGGAGGGACGCCGCCCCAGACATTTGCCGGGAGCGAGCGGGCTCGTCAGGATCAGCGACGACGCGCCGGCGCCGGGGAGAGACCCCCGCGGGCGCCTGGGCGGCGCTGGCCTCGCGGGGCCCCGGCCTCTGCCCGGCGCTGGGGGACGGCGGGGGGGGGCGAGGCCTGAACAGCGACGGGGACACCCGTGGCCGCCCCGTCCACGCAGCCAGCGGGCGGGGCGCCGGGCTCCCCCGCCGCCCAGTCTCGAGTCACAGGGGCCGGGCCTCCCGGGGCGCCCCGAGCGCGTGGGCCGGTCTGCCTGGCGCTCCCCGCTCTGCCTCTGGGGGCTCCTCTCACCCCCGCACCCCAGTTTTTCCATAACAAAAAAAGCATTTACCTCCGTTCACCCCGTTTCCACGTCTCCGCGCCCCGCTCCGGGGCCGCCGGGGGTTCCTGCCAGCGCCCCGGGCCCCGCAGTCACGGCGCCCCCTCGGGGTCGGGGTGGTCTCCACCGCGGCCTCCGGGGCGCCTGCTCCCCGCGGCAGGCCCGGCGCACGGGGCGGGCTCGGGCTGTCCTCGGCCGGGCCCTCGCCGCTCGCCGCCCCGTCTCCGGGCGACCCCCGCCCCCGCCCCCGCGGCCACACGAGCCGGCCGCGCCGCTCGGGGCTTCCGTCGGGAGCGGGGCCGCCCAGTCTGCCGGGCACCCCACGTGCCCCGGGCGACTCCTGTCCTTGGGGTGCGTGGAAGCCGGCTTTCGGGGAGTCTCCGCGCCGGCCCCCTCGCCGCGGCCGCGGGGTTCTCTCCGCCCCGCCCTCTGCGCGGGGGAGTCGGGGCTCCCAGGGCTGCGCGCGCCCTCCCCGGCGCCCGGCCCGCCCCTCCCGGCCAAGGCCGCCGGCGCGCAGGTGGGGCGGGCGCGTTAGGGCCAGAGCCCGCGGGCAGAGCCGCCCCCCCCGCCCGCCCGGCCCCGGCAGCCGGTGCGCACCCCCGCGCCGCCCGGCCTGGTCCAGAGCCGGCCCCCCCAGCCGGCCCCCCCCCCACCGAGCTTCCTCTCCCCCAGCCCGCCTTCTCCACCCTCGGGGCGCTCCCGGGCTTTCTGGGCTCCCGGAATGGCGATGCTTTGCTTGCCAGTAACCGCTGTACCCTTCTGACGCCTCCTCAATTTGGGGTGGACACCCCACCTTAACGGCCCTCCCGCTGGTAAACCAAGCGCCCGAGGCGGGGACGGCGGCTTGTTTTCCGCGTCTGCTCTGGGGCGCCCACCGCGGGCAGCCGGGGCGGGCAGGGGGGCGCGGGGGCCAGGCCCCCACGGCTGCGCAGGGCGGGCCCGGGGAGTGGGGGTGCGCGCTGTCCCCCGGGGCGCCCCAAGCGTCCTAAGCCGGGTTTGCTCTCAAACGCAGCTGCTGCCAAAGGGCGACCCCCCGCCGGCACGAGAAAGCAGCGATTTTATTTCTGGGTGTTTTGCACAAGCTGGGGAGAGGGACCGGCAGCCAAAGCGTGTGTGCAGGAGCATGTGGGGGCACGACCCGGCGCCCCGAGGGCGCAGCCCAGACTGGCGGCCGGAGACAGGTTCAAGGGCGCCCGGGGGGCTGCAGGCGGACAGGGCTGCCTCCCGCCTGCGTCCTGGTCCCGAGTGCAGGGCGCGTCGCTTCACACACCCCAACCCACCTCAGGGGCACCCCCGACCACACCTTGTGGCACTAGCTCCCTCCCGAGGCCTCGCCCCAAACACCTTGGCGCCGGGGGCTGGGGTTCAGCACCGGGGTGCGGGACAGCCCTAGTGCACGGACACCCCCCACCTCCGCCACCGCTCGCCCCGTCCTCACGTCTGCTTAGACACCGCGCCCGCGCCCGCGCCCCTCGGCACCGCCCGCGTCCCCACCAGCCTCGGCTCCTCTCGCCACAGCGGGCACCGCGTGTCCTCGCGTCCTGGGGACGGCGCGGCGAGGCCACCGTCCTGCCACACAAGCACGGGGCGGCCTCCGCCGCAGCCCGGAGCCCCAGGCCTCGGGGCCGCGTGCCCTCAGCGCAGGCGTGCCCTCTGCGGAACAGACCAGTCTCTCCCGCTGCCCTTCGGCGGCTCCAGCCCCGGCCGTCAGGGCTGTTTGTGCTCAACGAACGTCCTCAAACCGCACCGGGACGTGAACGCGGAGCTGTCACCACAGGGGGAACGGCTCCCGCTGGGATGACCGATGCAGTCACTTGATCTGGCGACTCTGAAATGAACCGGACGGGCGAGGTGGCGCCGGCAGGGGGCAGGGGCCCACGGGAGACACGGCCCGTCCCCGCCGTGGGGCTGCGTCACCGCTGATGAAAAGCCACACCCCAAAAAAAAGGCCCCGTGTCCATGAATGGCCCCTTCCAGAGAGGGGGGATGCAGGGTCCCCGCACACACAGCGGAAGGCCCTGACCATGGCTGGCGGGGTCTGTTTGTGGGGGGGGGGACTGAACACACGGGGACGCCCCGAGCGGGCAGCCCACGCGCGCGCTGGGACAGGCCAGCCCCACGCCCGGAACCGCCACACGCTGCTCCCCGCGGGCCCTGCCCTTCCCGGCCCCCAACCCTAACCCTAACCCGGAGGGGCCGGCCCGGAGCCCCGCGGCTGCCTCCCCTGCTCAGGACGCTGGTCTCCTCCTGCAGTTCTTCCCCAGGGGGGCCGTGAAGCCCCCGGGTCTGCCGCACGAAGGCCCGAGGCCCGCCCCGCCCCGCCCCGCCCCTGGCCTCCCCCGCTGGCCCACAGGGCCCGGCTCCCCGCCGCAGGAGGCTCAGGCCTTGCCCTGGGAGTGCGCGCTCTGGTGGCGGAGCAGCGACGAGCTGCGGCTGTAGGCCTTGCCGCAGTGGCCGCACGCGTAGGGCTTCTCCGAGGAGTGGCTGCGCTGGTGCCGGATGAGGTCGGAGCCGCTGCTGAAGGCCTTGCCGCACTGGCCGCACGCGTAGGGCTTCTCGCCGGTGTGGCTGCGCTCGTGCAGGATCAGGGACGTGCGCTGGCTGAAGGCCTTGCCGCAGGCGCCGCAGGCGTAGGGCTTCTCCCCGGTGTGGATGCGCTCGTGCTGGGCGAGGTGGGCGCTCTGGCTGAAGGCCTTGCCGCAGCGGTCGCACTCGTAGGGCCTGTCCTCCGAGTGGATCCTCTTGTGCCGCGTGAGGGAGATGCGGTGGCTGAAGGCCTTCCCGCACTCCTCGCACTGGTAGGGCTTCTCCCCGGTGTGGATCCTCTGGTGCTCGAGGAGGAACGACTGGCGGCCGAAGACCTTGCTGCACTTGCCGCACTTGAAAGGCTTCTCCTCGGAGTGGATGTTCTGGTGGATCTTGAGGTTGGCGGTGCCGGAGAACATCTTCCCACACTCCTTGCACTCGAAGAGCTTCTTCTTCCTCGTGTGAACCTTCTGATGCTGCAGCAGGGACGAGCGCCGGGCGCAGACCTTCTCACACTGACCGCAGCGGTACAGCTGCTCTCCGCTGTGGAGCCTCCGGTGCAGGAGGAGCGTGGGGAGCCGCCCGAAGGCCTTCTGACACTTGTCGCACCTGTAGGGCTTCTCTGGCGTGTGAGTTCTCTGGTGAAGCATGATGGACGAAATCCTGGCGAAGGATTTGCCGCACCTCCTGCACTTGTACGGACTCTCCAAACGGGGGGCCCTCCGCTGCGGACGCGGCCTGGAGGCCCTCTCGCTCTCCGGGGTTTCCTCTCCACGATGACTTCTTCCATGCCTCACCAGGGCTGCTTTCTTACTGAAGCCTCTCCCACACGCGCCGCACTGATGTTTCTTCTTTCTCTTGTGCGTTTTCTTGTGAAGCAAAAGGGCTGACATCCGAAGGAAGGTCTTCCCACATTTTCGGCACCGGCGGATGTTGTCCACCAGGTGACCTTTCCGGTGGATGCTGAGAGGGGGGCACTGCTGCAAGGCCTTGGCACAGTCACAGGCTCTTTCCTTCCCATCGTGAATTCTCCCGGGGAGAGGAAGCGTCGCCCTTTGAATGAAACTTTCCCCACACGTGTCGCATTGCTGGTTTTTCCTTCCAGTGTGGAGTCTCTGATGCAGAATGAGGGATGAGATCTGTCTGAAAGATTTTCCACAGTCGCTGCATCCATAAGGCTTCTCTCCAGTATGAGAGCTCTGATGGAGGTGGAGAGATAGGCTCTGACTAAAGACCTTCCCACACTCGTTACATTTCAAAGATTCCTTCTCTGAACGCACTTTCTTGGATCTTATTAGGACTGACTTTTTCTTGCAGCCTCTCTTTGCTGTGAGAACTTTTGGTGGTGCAGAAACTGGCTTCTGGTAGATGCTTGGCCCAGCTTTGTTGCACTGATTTGGAGGTAACTTCTTGGTCTCACATTTAGATCCTGAGTCTGAAAGACATCAACAAATTAAATGTTTTCCTGCACTGGGAAAATGACGCTTCTCAACTGTCGCCATCAGTCTAACTCTTAATAAAAACAATTATGGTAATTTTTACCATCAGAATCATCACTTTTTAGTGTCTAATTATGTTTTTTTAAGATTTATTTATTTATGCATACAAGAACTGGGGTACAGGCCAGAGGCATGGGGGTGAGAGGATTCACCAGAGTGGGGAGCAGAACAGGCAGACTGACTGAAATCCACTGCTGAGGGGAGCAGCGGGGAGACAGGAGAGGTCTGCTGCGCCCCTGTGGGTCAGCTCCCTGGCTAGGGATCGAACTCGCGCTGCAGAGGCTGCGGACAGCTTCATAGTTTGCGTCTTTACCCCTTGTGCCACCAGGGAGGCCCTAATTATGTTAGTAAGAAATAATATAGAAATACTCTATAATATTTAGAAATATTTAACGACTAGAATTAAGAGAAGTTTGAACTTTGAAATGAATACACGAAGGTTTTATTTGCAGGACAGCTGCATACCACACACGTAGATTGTCCATGACATGAATGTAGTTGTTATATGAAGTGTTCAGAGAGGCAGAAGGCAAGCTAGCGGTTGTCGGCTGGAGGCAGGGATGAGAATGAACCATAGAAGGGTATGAGGGATTTCACTGGAGTGATAAAAATGTTCTAAAATGGGGCTAAGCGGCCATATAACTTGGCAAATTTGTTAAAAAACACTGAGTTACACACTTAAAATAGGTGAATTTCACCATAGGTAAATTATACTTTAGTAAAGTTGTACATTTAGATACACGTCATGTATTTTTAAATGTATTTTTACATGTATTCTTAAAATATCTTTAAAAAGTCCCCCAAAGCTGAAATTGTGGTCCCTCATGAAGGCCGCCCCCGAGGGCAAGACTGGGCCTGGGTGCCACTTACCCGGACCGCGGCGCCTCCTCGCAGGCTCCACCACCCAGGGCGCCCTCCCCCGCTCCAGCAGGGCGATGACGTTCGGCCTCCGCGAGGACAGTCCTGCACAGGGGAGAGGCCGGGCTGAGCATGGACACCGGGCAGACCTGGGGCCCCAGGTGCTGTCCTCCTGGGGTGTGGACAGAGTCCAGGGTGTCCCCCGGGGCCTGTTTTGTAGGGTCCGGGCTTTGAAAGCCACACAGCTCCTTGGCCAGCGGCTCGGGTCCAGTGTCCAGCAAACAGAAGCTCTCTGCCCCCCTTTCTCCCAGACCAGCCCCCACCAGGAGCATAAGCCAGCCAGGCAGGATACCCCGATCTGTCCCCACCATTCCTAGCTCTTCCCATACACCCTAAGAGCCCAAGCTCGCCCCTCTGTGCCCCACCCGGCGCAGCTGCGCCCTGGAGTGGCCACGTGTGACAGCAGCGTCCAGCACTAGCCTTTCATTAGTGGCAGTTAAGGGGGTTCCTTCGGTTCTCACTCTGAAAACCGGGGTGTCCTCACGAGGCTCCACCCCCAGGCACTGACCCCAGAGGTGCAGGCGTGTTCAAGGGCGCAGGTGTCATCACCTGAGCGGCAGCGGCCGGGCTCAGTGGCTCTGAGGCCCCGGGGGTGGGAATACTACATGGCCATGAAAAGGGATGGAGGCAGCAGCTGGCGACTGTGCGGGGCCCCGCCAATGTCCTCCACAGGAGAGCGCCAGGTGGCGGCCGTGCCCGTGGCTCGTGTCTGTCGCTGAGGTCACCTGCGCCCTGTGACGCCCACCTGGGGACGCGGCCCCGCGAGGCCCAGCCCACAGAGGAGCCCCACGCCTGCCTCCCAGGGGGCGCCGGGCAGGGCGGCCCTGCCCAGGGGGGTGGGCCGTGCCCAAGGACGCGGGGATGCGCCGGCGACCCCCGCGTCCACCCAGGCTCCACAAACCACGCGGGGCTCCCACTTTCCCGCCACGCAACCCGGCCGCGGGGCTCACCCAGAGAGACCAGGTTCCCGTAGGTCTCCAGCATGACGTCCCCGTACAGCGCCCTCTGCGGCGGGCTCAGCCACTCCCACTCCTCGCGGGAGAAGTAGATGGCCAGGTCCCTGAAGGTCACCTGCAAGGACACGGCCCCTTCACTGCGGGCGGGAAAGCCCTGAGGGTCTGCCCGAGGGCAGGGCAGCTGGAGGGCCTGACGCTGCCATCTGTGCAGCGCCTCAGCGCCTCCCTCCCTGCTAACCAGGGTCACACGCTCAGAAGGGCGCCCCAACACTCAGCCCGATGCAGGGTGTGGGGGGACTCTCAGCCCCAGACATCCCCCTGGCGGGAGGGGACCCCGGCCCCTTGGGAGACTCACCGGGCAGGGCCCCAGAGACCAGCTGGCGCGCACGGCCCAGACCCTGGGAGGGCAGGTCCGGGTGCCGCCAGGACCCTGGAGGCGCCGGTGGGAGAGGCGGCGGCGCATGCTGGGGACAGGGGTGGTTTCGGGGTGCCCTCCTCAGCCCCCCGCCCATCCCGGCGGCAGGAGGTCCCGCCTCTCCCAAACGGCCCCTCGGGAGGCAGAGCCCGCGGCTCACCTTGGCCCTGGACTTGGCTCCGGCGGCCGGCATCCTCTCCTGCCCCGGGGCGGCTCCGCAGGGTGAGCGCTGGGAGGCTGGGGGGGCTCCTGGGGGCTGCGGGGGGTGGCAGGGGACAGGCCGGGGTCGGGGTCGCCGGTGCCTGGGGGCAGGGACGGATTTCAGACCTGCTGCCTTTTGTAACACACGCCGAAGGTGGACACGTCCCTTTCCCCCCCCGGCCCCCCACCCCGCAGGTCTGTCGCCCCCCACCACCCCGGCCCCAGCAGCCCCAGGGCGGCAGCCGCTCTCACTGCAGCGGGGAGGGGCGGCGCGGTCAGCAGAGACAGCGGCTCCTGCGCCTCAGGGTCCCCCGCAGGGACGGGCGAGCAGCTTCGGGACAGGGGCCCCTGCTGGCCTCCCCGGGGCAGGTGGGGGGCCGGGCAGCCGGCGGAGCCCCTCCTGCCTCAGCCTGCGGAGAGGGCAGGGTGTGAGCAGGACGAATGGGGGCCACCTTTTCTGCCGCCCTCTGAGGAGCCTCCTCACCAGCCACAAGCCTCGGGGCGCTCGTGGCCCCCAGGACCAGGGCGCAGGGGGGGTTGCAAGCCGGGGAGGGACGGGGGGGGGTTCCCAGTGCTCGGGTGGGCAGGAGGCTGTGACAGGAGAGCAGGGGGCGCCTTCCCGGGCATGTCGGGCACCTTCCAGGCGGGCCTGGGGGCCAGGCCAGGAGCCACGCGTGGGCGCGAGCAGGGAACCCCCAAGCCGCTGTCCTGGCCGGGCCATGGGGGCCAGTGCCCTGTGAAGGAAGATGGGGTCCAGGGAGACCCTGAGACGGCTGTGGGGGAGCTGCGGGCACCCCCAGTAGGGCGCAGGGGAGCTGGGAGACCAGCCTGACACCCTCACGCTGCGGGGCTGGGACCGTGGGACCCTGCGGCCTCCTCGGCACACCCCAGGCTGCTCGCGGAGCGCCGCCTCTGAGGCTCACCAGAGAGGCGCAGCCCCGGCGTCTCCCCGGCGTCTCCCCGGCCTCCGCAGGCGGCCGGTCCAGAGGGTCCCCAGGGGCGCTGCGGGGAGGAGGACGCGGTGACTTCAGGGTACACTCAGGTTCCCAGCTCCCCGCTCCCATCGCAGCCCCTGGCGCGCCCCAGCCCCGGCCAAGCCGCTGCAACCGAGTGGACACTGAGCCAAGTCCCGGGCGGCAGAGCGCGCTGGGGGGCTGCGGTGGCCAGGCAGGGACAGACGCCGCCACGCTCAGGGTCGCAGACCCCACGCAGCACCCTCGCGGGGGGGGGCTGCCCTCGCCCCCACACCCTCACCTGTGCCCCACCCGCCCACGGCGACCTCCCGCTCAGAGGACGGTGCCCGCTGAGTCCTGGGGCCCCTCCACGGTCACGGGAGACCCGGCCCCGCGTCTGTCACCGCACTGACCGGACCACACTGGGGCCCCTGTAGCCAGCCCTCGGCTGCGCCCCAGCACACCCCGGACGCGGGCTCCGCCCTCTCGCATACCCACCCGTGCACCCGCACGCAGCCCACAGGCAGAAAGTCCCAGACTCTCCGGGTGTAGGGCGAGCACACACCCCAGCAGGCGTGCGAGTCCGGTGCTGGCCCCCCCAGACCTGGGTCGCGACCCTCGCAGGACAGCGCCCCGCAGGCCATCACCCCCACAGCCCCACCCACTGGGGCCATCCCTCCACCCAGCCACACCCCCGTGGACCATCACCTCCGGCAGCCCCCACCCCCCAGGACCATCACCTCCGGCAGCCCCCACCCCCCATGGGCCATCACCCCCCCGCAGCCCCCACCCCCTGGGGCCATCCCCCCATCCAGCCTCACCCCCTGCGGGCCATCACCCCCCGCAGCCCCACCCCCCGCGGGCCATCACCCCCCGCAGCCCCCACTCCCGGGGGCCATCACCCCCACAGACCCCACCCCCTCGGGCCATCAGCCCCGGCTCCCCCATCCCCCGCGAACCATCACCCCCCCACACAGCCTCACCCCCCGCAGCACCCGCCCCACAGTACCGAGCCTGCGGGCCCCCCACGGGCCATCATCCCCCACAGCCCCAGCGCCCGCAGGTCCGTCGCTCCCTTGCAGCGCCCAGCCCGCGGGTCCCCAACGGGTCACCACCGCTCGAGAGCGCCCCACAGGCCACCAGCCCCGAGGGCCCGTCAACCCCGCAGCCCAGCGTCCGCCCCCCGCGGCAGCAGCAGCGGCGCCGGCTCACCCCAGCCCGGCCCCGCGCCCGCGGTGACAGTGGCGCAGCAGCCCGCGCCCGCGCCTGCGCACTGCCCCCGGGACCCCGGCCCCGCGCCCCGCCCCTCGCGCGCGCACGTAGGGGGATTGGCCCCGCCCCCAGGGCTTCCCCGAGAACAGGCTCCGCCCCCAAACAGAGCCACGCTGCGCGCACGCACATCTTCTCCCACAGTCCCACAGGGCCGGGCAGAGGCCCCGCCCCCACACGCAACAGTCTACGCAGAGCACTCCCAGCCAATCAGAGCCGGTCCAGGGGCGTCGCCAACCCGAGGCCCCGCCCCCGCCCGCCCGCCCGCGGAGCAGCAGGCCGCGCGCAGGCGCAGGGCCCGGCCGGCTCCCTAGGGCGCCGCTCCCGCGGCAGGGACGATCTCCCGCGCCTGGCACTCACCGCACCCGCCCGGCCCGACCCGGAGACCCGGTTCGCCGCCCCTTGGCCCCGTCCGGGCGCTCCTGCCCCACCCGTGCGGCCCCGGCTCTCGGGGCCGGGCTCACCCGCGCGCGTGCGCACTGCGAGCTCGGCCGGCACCTGTGGACGCCTCCGTGGCGCGGCTCGGGACGGCAGACCCGGGACTGGGGGTCGGCGCCTGTCGGGCCGCGCGGGCTCCGAAACGGCGGGCCGGGAGGGAGCGGGGCCGCGAGAGGGGCAACGTGGACTCTCGGCGTCCGCATTGAACGAGGAGACCCAGGGTCCTTTGCGCGTGCCTGCGGTCCCAGACTACATTTCCCAGGGGGCTGCGCGCCCCTCTCCTGGGCCGGGGCTTTGCGCATGCGCATTGAGTGCGTCGGTGTGTGTCCATGGTTACCGCTGACCCTCGGCCCACGCGGCTGTGGATTTTGCGGGTGCGCTCGGGTAGATCCTCTTGTGAACTTCCCGTGTGGATAGATACAGCCCAGCTCTGTAAACGGGTTTTTTATGGTTTTCTTAAGTTTGTCCTCTAGTTGCTTAATTGTAAGAATAGTCAATAATACAGAAAACAGACAAAATGTGTGTTCACCGACTGTTCAGGTGAAGCTTCCAGTCCGTAGCAAGCTGCTCGCACAGCTTCGGGGGAGATGGACTTCTATGTGGAGTTTTCAGGCGTACAGTAACTACCTGCAGTTTTCAGGGGTGGGCGCCAGTAACCCCCGCACAGTTCATGGGTCAACAGTCGGTGGGTGGGTGGGTGGGTGGGTGGACAGATGGGTAGGTAGGTGGATGGATAGGTCGGTAGATAGACAGGATGAGTGGATGGATAGATGGATGGATGGACGGATGGGTAGACAGATGGGATGGGGGGGTGGATGGGTGGGCAGATCGATGGGTAGTTACACAGGTAAACAGAAAGATGGCCTTAGACATATACAGGTGTACATAGTGCACACATATCACGAGGAGTTGGGCCACAATAGTTGGTTCAGAATAGGCTGAGTAGCCGCCCTACAAGCTCTCTGCCAGCTGCACACCCAGGACATCTGGGGGTGCCACTCCAGGGTGAGACGTGGGCCCCCCTCGAACAGAGAGAGTTGTCCCTCGGGCTGTTTGTTCTCCTCAGGCCCTCAGAGGGTGGAAATGTGCCCGCCCAGGAAAGCCCTCTGCCTTGGTCTCCTGATTCAAATGCTAACCTCAGCCAGACAAGCCCAGAAATAACAGAAATAATAGAGTGGTGTGGGGTTCAGTGAGTAGGGTGCTGGGTGACCTCTGAGACGTTTCCACAGAGCCCCCCTTTCAGCAGCACACAATGAGTGCATCCAGGAGACGAAGACGGTCGCAGACAAAGGCCAGCGAAGGCGATGTTTGAAAAGGACCAGGTGTTTTCCAAAGGAGAAGAGAACACTGGCACAGACGGGCGGCGGGAGAGGTGCCTCTGAAAGGGGCCAGTCCGTTAAGCGAGACGCCTGTAGACACAGCAGGCAGCCTTGGTACGAGAGCTGCATTTTCGAGAGGGGTAAATTTCAAAAAAGAAACGCCTGCATTGACACAGGTGGGCAAGAAGTAGGGCCATTGCTATTCTGCAAAGTGGCCCCTCCACCCTAAATTGTCTACCCCCAGGCTCCGTTAACATCTAACTAAACATCTGGGCACACCTTGATCCACACTGTCCCATAAAACCCACCACCGGCGTCCCCAGAAAGAGGATATTTTAGTTAAGACCGCAGTAGAAGGCGTCATAACGTGGGCCCCAGATGAGTTTGCTAACCTATTGCTTGCAACTTTGATTTGTTCCCATCTCTAAAGAGACAGGAATTGGAGTTTCCTAGGGGAATGCCGGCTTGCACCCCACATGACCCCCGTGCCGGGGTCGCCATGGCTTCCCGGTGGCCCCAGCGCTCCCTCCACGTTCCCACGCTCCTGGTCGTGCAACTGCGCGATGCGGCCAGCAGGGTGACAGCACGGCACGAGCCTGCGCTGCGGCCCCACGATGTGCCGGCCCGGCCCGTCCGCGCACACGCGGAGAGCAGCGGGGTGTCGCCCCGCGTGGCGGCGGAGGGAGCTCCGTGGGCTGTTTAGGGTCGCGGTTGCTTGGTTACGGTTACGGGCCGCTCGGCCCGTCCCACGCAGGGACGGGGCTCCCTACCCCACGCGCACCCCCACCCCCACCCCGCGCGCGCAGGGGAGCGGTGGCGGGCGGGCGCGGGGGGCTGTTCCCATGGAGACGGGAACAGACTCCGCCTTCCAGCCTGGCCCCGGCTTCCGGCGTCCCGCTGTTTCCCAGACAACCCGCTCACGGAGGGCCTGGAGGGCGCGCGCAGAGGCTTCTGGGGGTTGTAGTTCCGGGGAAGGCGCCTGTCGGTAGCCGGGAGAGCACGAGAAAGCGCCCGTGCCGGGGAGGGGCTGTGGCTGGCGGCGTCCGC